TCGGAGAGGCAGCGGCGAGGGTCTAGTTTCGGAAAGGCCCGAAGAATGCGTGAGCTGAGAGCCCTGTCCATGCCTTTTTATATACAGTCTATGGTCCGTGCCCATTAACACCATGACAGTAGATGGCACTGTGCGGCTCGCTGCTCGTCTCTGGTTAAGAGAAGAAGAGAAATGACCTTTTCGTTGATCCGGTTCCTCTTCACTCCACACCACCTTCTCGTTGTCGACGGTAACACTGTACCGTAACTGTTAGCAGATAAACATGCCGGGGCTCCTAAGGTTCGTCGCTAGTCGTGCTGCTCCAGCCATGCGGGGACACACCGTCTGTCAGAGGGCTAACCTCTACACCAAACCGGCTAAGGGAAAGGTCGGCGCCGCTGTAAGTTTATCGCTAAACCACCTCGAGCTGATGCTAACTGGGTGGCTTGCTAGGGGCCATTAGCTGTCATTGGCTGATGAGGTCAAAAACGAATTCAGCGGGCACTGTCAGACTATTTTATTATAAAGGTCAACGTGTGTAATTAACATGCAGATGAATAAGAATACATGCATGTCTAGTAAAGGATTTCAAATCGCCGCTCATATTTTCATGTAGCCTCACAGTTCCACTTTCTTCACCAAGTTAGGCCCAAGCTAACCTTAGTTAGCCATGCTATCTAAGCTATAAGCGCTCTATCCGCTATGGATTTACACAGAAATGTGTTGATAAAACGGTCAGTGTAGTGAAGCCGTGTTCACGGACATGTGGCCATACAGTGAATTCAGAAAGTAGTCAGATGTTCAGCTTTTCCCATTTTGTTATTTGGTCAGAAGGAACTTAACGTTAACTGTAACAAACAAGGTCAGCTACATTGCTTCTGCATTGACAGACCAGTAACAAAGTCTCAAGTTAATACCCAGTTAAGAATACTTAAGTGCTTTGAGAGCTTGGTGTTTGTGTAGGGCTGGACAATAAAACAATAACCATAATTATCGCAATATAGTTTTTTCAATAACAATATAACAAATGTTCAATAAATGTTTAACTTTATTCACTTGAGTCATAAACGAATTAGGACTTATTTTCGTTATTTAGATGTATATTTTGTTGAGGGAAAAAGGACTGAAAAAAGCTTTTACTTCATTTTACTCATGCATATTTGTTGTGAAGTGATCCACTGTTTGGCATCAAGTGTTACCATAAAGAAATTTAAACCACAATTAACCATCGGGTTTCTTCAACTTTTACTCAGGAACAAAAATCAGCCTTTAAACTCAAAAGAAATAACGATTTAAAACAACATGATCAAAGATATGAAACTTTTCATTGTGATAACATTTTTGACCATATCGTCCAGCCCTGTGTTTGTGTTGATGCAATTATTGACAACAGTAGAGGATTCCACTTTGATGAAAGTGAAGTCAGCACTCCTCTAAAGTAGCTTCTACAAAAACAGATCAGAGTCTTCATGAAGGAAGGAGAACAAAGGGCAGGAATTAATCATGTGTCTGAGGGTTAAGGTTATGTTAAAATAATCGTAGCTTCAAGGTCCACCTACTAGCTGTGCTGCTCCGTTTCGCTCAGGAACGTGATAACAGGTGGTCGTATAGGATAGGGCGGAGATGCTAAACCTAAACCCTGTGTTGGTTCAGAGATAGTCTTTGAACAAAAGTCATGGTCTTCCAAAGGCCAAGAATTTTGCTCAAATCAGCACATTGAAAATGAAAAGTGAATACAAAACTATGGTAGATTGTGGGTGGGCTGCCCAAATATACTCTCTGCATGAGAAACTGTTGAACAGACCTGAACGCTGTACCCAAAAAATACGGCTCTGAGCGCTGATGTGAACTTGGGGCCAACAGGGTAAACACGGCCTTTGACACACTTACAGTGTGGTTGATGGATTTTCTTATGTAGCAGCAAAGATGCTGGTTGGCTAACAGAATCCTCTCTTTCTCTTGTCCAGGAAACTGTCATTGGAATGGGCTTATTCTCCCTGGCCATTCTGGGACCAGCTGGGTGGGTCCTGGCTAACTTAGAGGACTACAAAAAGAAAGACTAAAGTGGACATTTTAACTCATACCTGGTGGATCCAGCCTCCTGTCTCCAGTGACAACCTGGGACCATCATCATTATGCTCTGCTGCAGAGAAGAATATGGACATTTGACCTCCACTTTCTACTTCTCTTAACACTTCCACTCCACATCCCAGATAGAAACCAACTGTTCCCAAAACACTGACTGTGATAAATATAATACTTTACAAATTGTATCGTACATCTTCCCTTTAAAGGAGTATGTTACAACATTAACATTAAATTATAAAAATAAATTACGTGTATGTTGTCTGTTTTGATTTAGAACATTGAGATTACAATTACAGGGTGTCCGCAGGGTCTTAAAAGGTAATAAATAAATTTTTCGAAAATTAAGGCCATTAAAAAGTCTTTATCGCCATTTAACAAGGTATTAAATTTTGAAGATATTTTTTTCAATGTGAAAATCCTGTTTGTCTAAAAGTTTGTTTGCTAAAAGTGTAGGTGAACGCATTTATTTATAATGCATAGCCAAAAACACTAAACAGGCAGTGAGTAGCGACTGTGTGATTAATTTCTGTAACGTTAGGCGCAGGGATCTACCGTGCGCCTATTTCACTCTTAAACGCTCCAAAAAATAGATCCGTGCGAACCGGAAAATGATTTCCGAGTCAAAACATAGTCGGAGTGGCGATCAGGAGTAACGGGATTAACCCGGTTGGCCGGTCGCTCTATGGCCACTTGAACAGCCCCGTTCCTGAAAAACAGGCAGCAGCTGAATCGGTAAGACAGAAGACAACAGGGAAAATTGAAGGAGCATGTGGGTTTGTATAACGTTAGCTGGCTATTTAGCTAAATCTCTGCCTTTCATTGAAACGCACTCAGCTTTTCATAAAGCCGATGCTCTTGTCACTGTCACTTTTTGTGCACAGCTTGGATGGAGCGGGATTTTTTTTTTAAAGTTTGATGTGCTGCAACAAACTTTATAAATGTTGAACTCAATGTTCTGCATAAACAGTTATGATTACTGACGAGTTAGTAGCCTGCCTAAAATCAAGGTTGGAGGGGTAGTGAAGTTAATGAATAAAAAAACAACTCCAAACTGAAGCAGCTGTAATTTGAACTAATGTACTAGTGGTAAGTTATATACTAATTATATGAAATTATATTGGATATAGTAACATAATGTATAAGTAATATCAAACTTACAGTTAAATATTAAATTAACAACATACTAATAATGTTATATTATTATACTAATACAGTCATTTAGACTAGTTCCTCCTCCAGGTTGTGCCTGTGCTACACCGCCTACACTACTTACGTTATTCATCACTCACTCACTGTTTATTCTCTTCATCTTTGTTCCCTCCTGGCCAATTTGAATTTTGTTGTATTGATCAAGTGGACGGTGAAAGTTCTCACACATCATTGCAGGCAAGCTCACATTATCTAGTTTAAATCAACTAAAACACAAAATTACAGTGTTTCACATGATTTGCTGTAATATTGCGTACATAAATGTCAGCACGACAGTTGCTTTTCGCAGGAAATGTGACCAGTCCTTCACGTAGAAAGCAGTTGGCCTATACAGGCTTTTATAGGCATCTGAGAAAGTTGGTGAATGCCTCAAATTTTAGATGGCATTACAACCTGATGACCTATGGCAATAAATATGTTATAAATATATTTAAAAACTCAAAAATGTCCCTTTTTAAAGGTGTGTGACTGATTTAATCGGTTACAGTTTTTTAATGGTAACAGATTTCTTGCTGCCAGAGGACAGTTTAAAAGTATTCGCTGGTTGTCAGGAGAACGCTAAATAATTTCTCCTGATAGACTGGGGGCGCTGTTTCACTCATTGCATTTGAATAAAGTCCACTATAGAGCAGACTAAGTCTTTGAAAATGCAATGTCAAATGCTGTTTCCATTTTCATTTTAATATGGTCCTAGATTGCTCACACAAGTATGTGAAAATGAAAATGATTGCATTTTCATTTAAATGTTTACCTAAATAACACATACATATGTGGAAAATTTTAATGTTATTGTGGGAAGTTTTCATGATAATTTTAATTTTTGTCCCCTATATGCTTCCATAATATTCTGCAGTATACAATATGCAATATTCTGAGTTACACTGTGTAGCCTACTGCAAGTTGAGCCTCGTTTTTTATTTCCCAAAACACGAACTTAAAACCCATTTAACTTGTTAGTTGTTGTTCAAGCTCATCTTCATAAGGCTACATTAGCCTAAATCAGGTCGCCGGAGTGTATTTGCTGCTTGTTCATCAAGTGTAAAACACAAAGTAACTTCCTTACAAATTCCAGTTTTTCGTTTCCTTATTTCTGACTTGATGCTTTTTGTGTTGATGATGACTGTAAATCATTAAGTCCATGAGGCCTACTGTGTTGTGGGCAGAATATTTCCACTTCTGCTCCTCATGTGGCTCGGTGTTTTAATAAATTCATGTATTCACAGTATTGTCGGAGTAAGAGAGTCACTGTTTAAAAGCATTCCCGTGTCATAGCGTGTAGGGGGTCAATATTGCCACGAGAAAAACACCTTGATAAACATGTTGTGGTATTTTTAAGATCGCTCAAAGTAACCAGCTGTTGTAGAGCAGCCCAAACAAAGTGTTACCTGGATGATGACGTGCTTAATCAATACGTGACTGGAAGACAGTCATCTATGATTGCTGGATCAGCTCGCAGGTAACGTGAAGATCTGGGACCAGATGTTACTTTTTGCTCAGGTGACTTCGAATCCAGCTTGACGCGATTTTGTAAAAAGTCTATTTTCTTCCATTTCTTTTTTTCGTGTGTGGCTAGATAATGTAGTGCTCACTTATTCAATCATGATCGCCGCAGTAGATTTAAGATGCGACTTGAAACTCGCCGGGAACATGTTTGTGAATGTGTGACGAATCTGGGGATGGAGTCAGTCCGCAGCTGCTGCGCACAACACGCGCACGCGTACGGCGACCAGTTAGTTTGAAAACCAGTAGGGCTACAACACCCTAATGCACCATTAATGTTGGATGCCAACCGTCGTTCAACAACAAGGAAGAAAGAGGAACGTTTACCTTAACAACAAGCAACGTTCAACGCTTGACTAAGTGGTACGTGACACAAGACTCCAAACACGAATCAGAAAGGTATGTTTTGACTTTTTAGTGAACTATAGAAAGAGGCACTAGCAGGCTGCTACGTATTCTCTTCTTTTTTTGAACAGATGTCGTAACTACGATAACCACAGACGCGTTTGCCTAAAAGTCACAAGTTAACAGGGCCGATTCAAGTCGTTTCGCTTGCTAACGTTATTGACCACTGCCTCGCCAAACTCAGTTGAAACAACAATTTACCAAGGTTTACTCATGGTTAAGTTACTGGTAACTGTTACGGGCCATCTCTTCCTGCCTCGACAACAGCATACCGCTATATTTGAGAAGCTATCATCGTTGATATTCAGCTTGTGAAGCACACATGCAGTTACCAATTTCTGAATAACGTTCGTGTTTGGCTGAAATTAGCTTCCATTGCTGAGCTCCTGTGTTGTACACCTCTTCGTGTTGTGAAAGCTGTTGACGTTGATGCCGTCTGAGAGCCACTGTCAAATGTGTGAAAATGCAAAATTGGCGTTGTCACTGCTTTTGTCACACCTAGACCACATTGGACTAAGTCCAGATCAAAGCCCACTGTACCTAGATTGGTGAAATGTGGACTAGATTATCCCAGAGAAAACAGAGACACAATTTCAGATTTGTGAAACATTTTTCTGTTTGTAAAACTGCATAAAAAGGGGAGATGTCACTGTTTTTGTCACACCTAGTAGCCTAGTCATTTGCCGCAAGGTGTATTGTGTTTACTAAGCTGCATCTTAAGTCTCTTAATTGTGTCCATGTGAGGAGAGAAGAAACTAGGAAATATGTTTTTAGAGAAAAAAGACGTCTGTTCCTCTGAAGCAATTTCCGTTCCTGATGATGACGGCATTGGCAGCTGGATCCGCTGTAGAGACTTATGGTGGTGTGTCTGTCTGCACTGTGCTGATATTAATGAAGGTTTACAGTGATCATGTTTTCTCTCTGTAGCTGTTACCTGTTTAACAAACTACTGCACATGAACAACAACCTGCATCCTTATACTGTGTCCTGCTCATTGGCATAGGATCATTCCTACTGGCAGAATGCCTTTATATTATGTAGTATCTGCATCTGTATTTATTGCTATTCTGGTTTTAAATTCTGTATTGAATAACCCAAAATATGACTATGATGTATTTTGAACATTGGAACTTATTTAGTAGGCTTAGTTTCAGAGGAAACTGAAATAAGGAATGACCAGCCTCATGACTGAATCGAAATGACGAGAAATGATGTAAAAAGTATTTCCTGCTGACAGACAGACTTTAATTGTCTCCATAATAAAAGTTAATGGGGGAAATAAATCTTTCAAATAATGCAGAAAGTTGTTTGTCCTCCTCTTGTTGTTCAAACCTACAGTGAACACAGATTTTAACAAAACAGGGAAAAGGAAAACAAATTAAATATAAAACTTGGGAGTGAAACATTGAGTTGAATCTGTTATTTGTCTTTACTCTGGTATGGATGTGATGTCGTGATGTATCAGATCAGTCCGATCAGTAACTGATATCCAAGTAAAGCTGCAAGCAGGGCGGGCGGGCCTTTCGCACATGTAGCGTGTCAAGGTGTGATGCGGTTGTGCAGTTTATTCTGCAGCTCTGCCAGTGCGGCTCTGGATTGTCACAGGCTTAGAGGGACCGACTCTTGTGGGTGCAAAAAGAAGTCCGGCTCCATAAGAAATAATGGGAAAATGACCCTACTTCTCACCTGAATAATTACCTCAATAAACACTTTTCTGATGAGTTTATGTTCTCAATCGCTAGTTTGAAGTCTTTAGCAAATTATGGTCCCATTTATTTTAAAATAGACCACAAAGCAGAATATCTTAACGGCCAACCCGCTCTACCTCCTGAGCCACAGCCGCCCCTCGAGTGTCTAACCCAAAAGTTACAATGATTGTAAGTGCTACTGGAATTGATTAATATTTGTTTAAACTCACTAAAACTAATATATTTTTCTTTTCCACTTGACAATACTTGATAACAAGCATGCAGACAACTGTAGCTGGGACATATTAGCTGGAAAACACTGTAGGGCCACGGCATAAAGCCTTACCTAGTCCAAGTTTAAATTTCATACCAGTACCATGAAAAATTACTATTTTACACAGGTTTTTCTAAGTGTAGCGTATTTTTTCTGAATCAGCACCGCCCCTTGGCGGCAGGCGGCTGATGTGTTCAGGGTGGGACCTTATTATAATGCATCCCAAATGTGGTGCATATGTGAGCATGTAGACTGAAGTTACAACAACTTCCTGTTTCATGACGAGTCATTGATTTTAGAAACCGTGCCACGGGCACACCGTTCCATGAAAACTGTTTGCACAGCTTTTAATCGTCACTGGGTTTAGACTGCACAGCACAAATCTCAAGTCGGTCGGACTTGATCCCTAGGAGGAGTTCCTTAAAGTAGAGTGTGTAAATCATCCAAAAATTACCATAAAATTCAAAATGGCTGACTTCCTGTTGGGTTTAGAGCATCACTCCAAGAGGCTTTTTGGTACGTCTGGACATGATACATGTGCCACAGAAATTTCATACATGTAGGTCAAACTTGTGGTGGGGGCTGCTTCGTTAAAGGTCACTTCCTGTTGCCAGCAGGTGGCGCTATGACTGTGGGTGAATGTCAACATGTACATGTGTTCAGTGCAGGACTCTTAATAAACGTGTAAAATTTGGTAGAGCTCTGAGCATGTACAGTCGAGTTACAACAACTTCCTGTGTCATGGAAAAGCGTGGAACTTTGCCGCCATGCAACCCCCATGCCATTAACTACAAACTCACAAGTTGTTACAAGTTACAACATGGCTTCATCAATGTGTTAAGGGCTTTCTGGGACAGTTCTGGAGCTGATATGTCCAGCCTGCTAGTAGTAGTACATTACGTGTCATTTCATGTTGCCAGCAGGTGGCACTATGACTTTGAGTGAATGTTGGCATGTGTTCAGGGCAGGACTGTTATTATACATGTCAAATTTGGTACAGATGTGAGCATGTACACTGAAGCTGTAACAACTTCCTGTTTTGTGGCGAATCATCGATTTTCGACACTGTCACAGTGGTACACACCAAAAATTTGATCAGATTAATTCTCTAGGAGGAGTTTGATAAAGTATGCACCCTAAGAATCCCTTCATATTCAATGAGAACCTCACACAGTTCGTGCTCGGGCCTTAACAATCCCCTCAGTTTCAATAGGGACCTTGCATGGTTTTTGCTCGGGCCCTAAATAAAGCCGCAAGCGGCTTTCTTTCTTTCTTTTTTTTTGCATCAACGACTTCAAAATAACTTCACACACATGGTTAGATATTGGTATTTAAGATATCCTGCAAGTTTGGTAACGATTGGACAATCATTTTCTTATCTATAGCTTAATTTGTATAATACCAAGTCCAGCTATTGTGCATTTAAAGTGCCACCTCAGTCAATTTGAATTAAACTATCAGCGCAGATTTGTTAAAAAAAAAAAAAAAAAAAGAGAGAAAAAAGGCTGTTTTTCAAAAAATCCAAATTGGCGGAGATTTTTTGTGTGCGGACGTTAATGAACCTTGGGAGTATTTTGTAGAGAACATTGAGCTGGACCTGTGTGAGAAATTTCAAGTCAGTCTGATTTATTGTGTGCAGTAGGGGGCCTTTCAAAACCTGTAGTTTTTGTGGCTCAATTACAGCGCCAATTAGTGTAATAATTCTGTGGAAGAACAAGCACGCCAAGTTTCATGTTTCTAGTTCAGTTCAGCTCACAGCAATTTGAGAATATCAGATTACCAACACAAAAACAGTCGCTATTATAGCAAAATAATATCATACATGTGTCAGTGTTGTGTTTGCCCTAGTGTTTTCTCATATTGCTACTTTATTTCCACCATGGTTACCGCTCAAACTGTAACTTAATTACATTTTTCTGTTTTCTGTATTTAGTTAGCCAACACAATGAGGCTAGTCATTCTGGACGACTATAACCTGGCCAGCGAGTGGGCAGCAAAATACATCTGCAACAGAATCGTCCAATTTAAGCCCTCCGCTGAGAGATACTTCACTCTGGGCTTGCCTACAGGTAAGTAACACTCACACAAAAAATAATTTAATGGAAGGGTTAGAAGATAAGCTGTTCATGTAACTTTATCAATATTAAGCTAAATGTATATTAATGTGTCTCATTCTTTCAGGCAGTACTCCATATGGCTGTTACCAAAAGTTAATTGAATTCTACAGAAGTGGAGATATTTCCTTCAAGTATGTGAAAACATTCAACATGGATGAATATGTAGGTGAGTTATAGGCTGACTAATAAAATCTGAACCTTTCCCTCACTATGCCATTCACCTTCAGTATTTGGCTACGTATGAAGCAGCTTAGAGGGGTGTTAAGGATATTTCAAGGTTCATTTATTTGTCATTCTACAACACAGGGCTACACAATGAAATTAAAATGAGAGTAGAATACAAATTAAAGCTGCAAGCATCGCTGAACGGCCCCTGCCCCCTTGTGCACCCCAGGTGGAGCGACAGCTAGGGTCTGTACACAGCAGGTCTGCTGACACGGCTCTAAAGTTAACACTGCACGTATTACACAGGTGAAGTGTGGAAATTGTGTGTGGTTGATGTCAGTTACTTCTTCAATTCCATGTTGCTGACTTCCGCTTGGGTTTAGGGTACAGCTACCTGTTTCATGGCGAATAATTACTCACCAAGGCAACAGCATTTGACAAGAACTTTGAGATGGATGTGGTCAACCTGCTATGAGGAGTATACAGTGGGTACGGAAAGTATTCAGACCCCTTTAAATTTTTCACTCTTTGTTTCATTGCAGCCATTTTCCAAAAATCAAAAAAGTTCATTTTATTTCTCAGTAATGTACACTCAGCACCCCATCTTGACAGAAAAAAACAGAAATGTAGAAATTTTTGCAAATTTATTAAAAAAGAAAAACTGAAATATCACATGGTCAGAAGTATTCAGACCCTTTGCCGTGACACTCATATTTAACTCAGGTGCTGTCTATTTCTTCTGATCATCCTTGAGATGGTTCTACACCTTCATTTGAGTCCAGCTGTGTTTGATTATACTGATTGGACTTGATTAGGAAAGCCACACACCTGTCTATATAAGACCTTACAGCTCACAGTGCATGTCAGAGCAAATGAGAATCATGAGGTCAAAGGAACTGCCTGAAGAGCTCAGAGACAGAATTGTGGCAAGGCACAGATCTGGCCAAGGTTACAAAAAAATTTCTGCTGCACTTAAGGTTCCTAAGAGCACAGTGGCCTCCATAATCCTCAAATGGAAGACGTTTGGGACGACCAGAACCCTTCCTAGAGCTGGCCGTCCGGCCAAACTGAGCTATCGGGGGAGAAGAGCCTTGGTGAGAGAGGTAAAGAAGAACCCAAAGGTCACTGTGGCTGAGCTCCAGAGATGCAGTCGGGAGATGGGAGAAAGTTGTAGTAAGTCAACCATCACTGCAGCAATCCACCAGTCGGGGCTTTATGGCAGAGTGGCCCGACGGAAGCCTCTCCTCAGTGCAAGACACATTAAAAGCCTGCCAGTTTGCTAAAAAACACCTGAAGGACTCCAAGATGGTGATAAATAAGATCCTCTGGTCTGATGAGACCAAGATGGAACTTTTTGGCCTTAATTCTAAGCGGTATGTGTGGAGAAAACCAGGCACTGCTCATCACCTGTCCAATACAGTCTCAACAGTGAAGCATGGTGGTGGCAGCATGCAGATGTGAAAAACTTGTTGCATCTTTCCCAAAACGACTCATGGCTGTATTAGATCAAAAGGGTGCTTCTACTAAATACTGAGCAAAGGGTCTGAATACTTATGACCATGTGATATTTCAGTTTTTCTTTTTTAATACATTTGCAAAAATTTCTACATTTCAGTTTTTTTCTGTCAAGATGGGGAGCTGAGTGTACATTACTGAGAAATAAAATGAACTTTTTTTGATTTTTGGAAAATGGCTGCAATGAAACAAAGAGTGAAAAATTTAAAGGGGTCTGAATACTTTCCGTACCCACTGTATATGCCTCATTATGCTTAGTGGGGTAAAAATATTAATTAGGCATAAGAAATAAAGTTTGAAACGTGTCCTTTTTCCACTATGACTGGATATTGACATGTAAGTCTCTAAGAGGTTTACTTATCTTATCTTGATCATGTCAAGAATTCGGAAAGTATTCATTATTGGTGACTTGTCAGCTGTCTGTCTCTCGTGCTAAATAACTCATGTGCTCCTTCAGTTGTCCAAATGTCACTTCTCTTCTTACTTCTAATAAACCAGAAGACTACTCAGAGACTGTATATTACTATTATTATTATTATTATTATTCCCTCTTCTTCTTCTTTGTACGTATTCAATGTAGTGACAGGCGTCTACACTACTGGAATTATACAATCAGAAGAAGAACGGCGTGATGACGAAACACGCTCGGTAGCGCTGTTTGTCCGTTGACGGCTATGGTAGAAACATAGCGACAAAATACAGCGACCTCCACAGCAGGGGGTGCCCGCAGTTATGTAGATATAAATGTCTCATTCTAAGGTAATAAAAACATAATGGTTCATTATGTAAGGTCTTTATACACCACTGAAAACATAGTTATGGATATTATTTTGCATTTCTGTCAGTAGAGCATCAGAAATATTACACACTGGACCTTTAAGCCTTACAAAGAAGTGTTTCATCAAAGAATGTTCTGTAACTTGAGCTAAAGTTAACAGGAATGTTTTTTTGTTTTTTTAATAATGTAATTTAATAAAACTGTAACTAAGTTACTGAAAAGATCCTGTTACTGAAATAACTAAGTTACTAAAACATTACTTTATATACTAAACAAGACATTTTGAAAGCTTGAACATGGCCTTTGTCTCTTTTTGTCCTGAATTGAATGGGCCCCTCTGACAAAACAACTGTCCCCAGCCTGGCCCCCTTAATAAAATTGGTCTAGAACCGCCACTCATTCTGACAACATAACGTCATACTGTCAGTACTTAGAGCATGAAGCTAGAGCCATTCAAGAGTCAGACCCATGTTATTATCGAGATGTACAAGCTCAGATAGGTCAGCTTAATGTCCCTAGTCCTCACAACCATCTGCAGTATGACAACTCTTTTTTATTTAATTGATGTATTCCTGTTGCAATAGTATCCGCTGACTATATCAATGTAGCCTATTATATATTACTATGTGATTAATTGTTTTATTTATTTATTTATTAATTATATTTATAGATTTTTCACAGAAAAGTATATTTTAGTTGCTTTCTGTGTTTGTTTTTTTTGCATTGATACTTGATATTTTACTGATGTGCCTGTAAGGCTCTACGCTAACCTTTTTCCCAAGGAACACAAATTTTTGTAAATGAAAAAATCTAGACCTCAGAAATTTAGGAGCACAGTGAAAAACGTTTGAGTAACACAGAGTTTATTAACAAACAATGTATTATATACATATTTATAGGCTATTACGAGTATGTGCTCTTTCTCCTTGTGGGCAATTGTGAGTGAAAACCAGTGGAGGACTATAGAAGTGAAGATCCTGGTATCTGGATACTGCAATATTACTGAAAAATAACTTGTTGTGAGCTCCTTGTACGACTGGTCTGGGATGGTCAGTAAAACGTCCATCATTAAAATTAGAAAAACTAAAAAAAGAAATGTATCCCACTGTAACACTGGCGCACACACGCAGTGCTTCAGCACAGGAGCTCAACCCCCCAATAAGCGATCTGCAGGAAGGCGCATCCCTCCTGAGTAGTGACGGTGGTAGGAGGACACATAATAAAGACGCACATGGTGACCCAGGTACATTATCCACCCCCGTTTTGTGTGCACACACCGTTTATAGATTAGATCCCTGGCCTGTAAGCAGTAGGCTAGATGATATAGGCTTATGATGATAAATTATTAATGTATAACATTACAGTAAGAGTTTATTACAGTGAACCTGATGGATGGTCACACGAATTGTTAAGCAACCAATCCGAAATTGGTAAGAAAGGCTCTGGAAGGTTTCACCAGTGTAAAAAAACCCCCGACATTTTCAGCAATAAGTTTTCCTACATCTAAAGTGTCTAAGTGGCCCTTGCTCTATATGAAGAGAAGTCTGAAGCAGGTAGAGAGAGAGAGGACGGACTCGCCTTATGTGGGTTCATGAGATTTTGTGGACGAGGAAACATCTTGGCGAATAGACCTACCAACCTTTAGTCCAAAAGCTGAGGTTTGACCTTCCAGGATAGTAACTGTTGCTACCGTGTGGTATTTGTCCCGCCCCTCCTCTACTGTTATTGGTCAGCTGAGTGAAAAGTGACAGTGACGAGTGCAGCGTTTTCATTTTTAAACTCTCCGCAACTGGTAAAAAAACGCTCAGCGCTTAGCGGCCAGTGTGGAAACAACACTCAGCGCCTCCTCACGCTGCTGAAGTTTTTGCCAGCTTGTAAAAACGCGACGCTCCCATTGCAATGAATTGAAAAAAGATGCTGACGTCAGAAAAAAACCCGCTTTGGTGGACAAGGGCCCTTAGAATGTTAGTGTTGGGTGCTGTCTGAGCAGTGTGCAAGCACCTTTAGTAATGATGTAGGGAGGTTCAGGTCCAGTTTTTAAGAGTTTACATCAGTTAGCACTGGACATATGTTTCATTTCATACCTTCCACATCCTCCGGGCCACTGGCCCCGAAGGTAGAACATCAAATCTACTGTCTTCACTCTGGAGGCTGGATTCCTGGCACTGTGGCTCTTAGGTAAAAAGGGTGACCTTGTTTTCCAGGTCTACCTCGTGCTCATCCAGAGAGCTATCACTCCTACATGTGGAACAACTTCTTCAAGCACATTGACATAGATCCAGCCAACGCTCACATCCTGGATGGAAACACAGAGGACCTAGAGGCGGAGTGTCAGGCCTACGAGCAGAAGGTTGCAGAGGCAGGAGGAATAGAATTGTTCGTTGGAGGTCAGACACATGATATTTAATATTATTTTGTCTTTCATATCTGTCAGGGATCATTTATCTCATAAAGCTTCGTCTTTGTCTGGTTCCTTCTCATTGTCTTTCTGTAGGTATTGGCCCTGACGGTCACATAGCTTTCAATGAGCCGGGATCCAGCCTTGTTTCCAGGACCAGAGTGAAAACCCTGGCTAAGGACACCATTGTGGCAAATGCTCGTTTCTTTGGCAATGACCTCTCCAAGGTTCCCACCATGGCTCTGACTGTGGGTGTTGGAACTGTCATGGACGCCAAGGAGGTCAGATTGAAGGGCAGTACATGTATTTCTCCTTTGTCCTAGAATAACACATTGTTATGTGGCTACTACTTTAAAACCTCAGGCAGTTTCAATAAGATCAGATATTTAAATAATATATATTGCGTAACTCTTAATGGTCCTACTTTCCTGTGTCCACAGCATGTAGTGGAGTATTATACTGTTGTTGTCCTCTGCTCAGGTGATGATTCTGATCACAGGAGCACATAAAGCCTTTGCCCTGTATAAAGCCATAGAGGAGGGGGTGAACCACATGTGGACTGTATCAGCCTTCCAGCAGCACCCACGCACCATCTTTGTCTGTGATGAAGACGCCACCCTGGAGCTACGAGTCAAAACAGTCAAATACTTCAAAGGTGCCATCCTTATTGTACTAAATGGAAAATAATGGGGAGAAAAGTGTTCATTGATATAAATGGGGTGAACAAAATACAATGCATACTACAGCATTAACAAGCACAACGCTGAATCAACACCTACAGTATCCGTTTGAACAAACAGGGCTCATTGCAGCAATATTGGATTAGACTGAATTAGTATTAACTTGACCTGATACTCTGCCATCCAAGTATACATTTGGAAAAAAGTGGACCTCTGCTTTCACACCTAACCTGATTGGTTGAGTTTATTTAGGCTGGTGTGAAAGCTGTCTGGTGCTGACCAAACAGCCGGACCAATACCATGTGAAAACATGGGTCTCGGTCTGGTTCTGAGCGGACTCTGGTGCACTTTGCTTGTGGTGATTTTAGAATGAATTCAAAAGATAAACTGCTGTTAAAACATTTTTACCTTAAGATAACGGCTTCAAAATCATTTTGATGCTAAACTGATTCATCATGAAGTGTAAAACAGCGACCACAGGAATGTATAGCAACAATATTGCCAAAGCTACGTATAAATTACATAAGGACAATTAATTTCATACATTTCATTAAATAAGGAAATAAAACAGTAAAAGTAGTTTGTGTGTGTTAATAAAAAATAAAATAATAATAATAAAAAAATCTGTAAAAATAAATAGTAAAAATAAAAGTAAATAAATAGAACAATAAGCGTTGTGTGTTGTGACAGTCTGAGTTGCACAGTTTTAAATATTAGTATTATTTGGGGTGCCAGCCAGGTCTCTCTCCTGGCAGTAAGATAATGGTAGTCAATGGATTTTAAATCAAATTCGATTTTATTTATATAGCGCCAAATCATAACAGTTATCTCACAGCGCTTTTCATAAAAGAGCAGGTCTAGACCGTACTCTATGATGTCATTTACAGAAGCCCAACAATTCCCACCAAGAACAGCACTAGGAGACAGAGGCAAGGAAAAACTTCCTTTTAAGAGGCAGAAACCTCAAGCAGAACCATGGCTCAGGGTGGGCGGCCATCTGCCTCGACCGGTTGGGGTGAAGGAGAGAGGGAGAGAGAGAGAGAGAGCAGGAGAGGAACAGAGAGAAAAAGAGAGGGATGGAAGGAGAGAGAGAGAGGGGAGGGAGGCAGCCTACACAATATACACACACAGAGGTACAGACAGTAAAGGTGATGTTGCTATAGACTAAATGAAAAATGGTACAGATATTTATAGTAGTGTCAATGGTAACAGTCTTAATGTTAATGATTATAATAACAATAATAACAATAGGACTAGTAACAATAGTTACAGCAGAGGGTGTCGAGCAGGAACACGGGGGCAGCAGGTGACAAGTGTCACAAAGGATGTATATTGTAAAAGAACGTACACCCTCCCACTGAATGACCATAAAAGAAAGAAACACCACAAACTTAAAAGCTTATCACAAAACAAAATATTGGTGTATTTAAAGATTTCACAAAAACAAAATCACAAAGTAAAGTAATAATAATATAAAGCATAATCCAACTGAAAATTCCACATCGGGTTTTCTGTACACTTAAACCTGGTGAATCGCAGGTTGTCACACAGTAACGTGTGTGTGTGTGTGTGTGTGTGTGTGTGTGTATTAATAGACCAAAATTTTTTTTAATTAATTGAATAGTTTTTTTGTTTTTTTTAACTACAAAAAATCAGTATCAAATGTGACATTTAAAAACACAACAATTACCAAAATATCAAACAATCAAAATAATAATAATTTGAAAATTAGTACAATTATTTATCAGAGTTTCCACTGGTTGTCCTCAGTTCGTGGCATGATGAGATATATTTTGCAGCAATTTGACATTTGGGCATTTCTCCCGGTAAATAGTTCTGTCTGTGGCGACCCTTTTCTATGGCCAGGCTGTGTTCACTCAGTCTGTATGTTGTCAACATTTTTCTTAGTTTAGGACATTTTATTGTGCTCAGGTAATTTGCCAGTGTGAATTCTCTTTTAAGGGTCACATAACATTGTGATTTACTTTTTTGTTTTGGTCGTTTCTTTCCAGTATTCAATATATTTTTCTTTCTGCTTGCTGATAATTTGGTTTGGTCTGCTTGAGTTGGTATTGCTGTCCTGAGGCTGTCGGGGACTTGTTACTGCAGAGAGCCTCAGGACCAGCTGGCTGAGGGGACTCTTCTCTGGTTTCAGCTCCTGGTATGTTAGGGCTTTGTGATGGTATGTCTGGGGGTTTACTGATTTTAAGTGAGTGTAAAATTTTATTGATCTTTTCTGTATTTTTAGTAAGAGGTGGCCAAGCTCTGCTCTGCACAGATTATTTGGTGTTTTTTTGTGCACCTGCAGGATGCTTTTACAGAACTCAGTATGGAAAGATTCTATGATTGTTTTGTCCCATTTGTCAAATTCATTATTAAGTTTTGGCCCCCAAATTTTGCTACCATATAGAATTATTGGCTCTAGTACAAATTGAAAAATTTAAGCCAGATTTCAATTGGAATATAGATTTGAATGTTTCTTTTTATTGCAGAGAAAGCTCTCCTTGCTTTGTCCCTCAGGTCTTTCACAGCCATGTTGAGCTTTCCTGTGTATGTAATGTTGAGGACAAGGTAAGTCTAGTTTTCTGTATATTGTAATTTAGTGGTGTCTAAATAGAAATTCTGTGTAACCTGATTTCTGTATTGTTTCTGAAAGATCATTATCTTAGTCTTTGCTGTGTTTACTGTCAGGGCCCAGGTCTGACAGAATCTCTTCAGGAGGTTAAGGTGCTGCTGCAAACCTTCTTTAGTAGGTGAAAGCCAACACTAAGTCATCTGCATACAGCAGACCTCTGATCTCTGTGTCGTTCAGGATGAGGCCAGGTGCCGTGGAACGCTCTAATTGGTTCGCTAAATCATTGATATATAGATTGAAGATAATTGGAATGAGATTGCTCCGCTGCCCTGGGAGAAGAACGCTGTTTGTTTGTTTCCAATCTTTATGGCAGATTTTTGTATAAATGTTCTTAATCAAATCATGTGTTTTTCCTCCAATGCCACTTTTAAGTAGCCTATTTTTCTGTCCTCGTGCCAGATGGAATCAAAGGCTTTTTGGAAGTCAACAAAACAGGCATTTACCTTTCTTATCTTAATGTTTAATTCTTGATCAATTAAAGTCTGGAGGGTAAATATATGGTCCATTGTGCGGCAGTTTGGTAAAAAAACAATTTGGCATTCATGCTGATGACACACAAATGTACTTGCCCATCAGATCCACAGACCACAGAGTTCACTTAACGACTGCCTTTGTGAAGTTAAAAAATGGATGTCAAATAATTTCCTCCAGCTGGGTCCCAAGACCGACCCCTGAGGCACACCATATTTAACTGAACAGAACGAAGAGAAATAGTTGTTTACAGACACGCAAAACTTCCTATTTGACAGGTAGGATGAAAACCATTCTAGGGCAGTACCAGAGATCCCCACCCAGTGCCTCAGTCTGTCTAACATGATGTTGTGATCAATGGTGTCAAAAGCAGCGCTAAGGTCCAGGAGTACCAGGACTGAGCACATACCTTCATCAGCAGACATTAAAAGGTCATTGGTGACTTTAAGCAGGGCAGTCAGTGCTGTGTTACTTCCTGAAACCAGATTGAAACTTTTCAAATATTGTGTTATTTTCCAGTACAGTAAGCAGCTTTTTGGACACAATTCTTTCTAGAAATCTTTGCAATAAAAGGCAGTTTTGAAATTGGTCTAAAATTTTGTAGGAGGGAGGGATCTAAACCAGGTTTCTTTAAAAGCGGGTTCACGCAAGCCATTTTAAAATAATCAGGGACACAACCAGTAGATAGGGAGCTGTTGAAAACAGATATCAAATGGGGCCCAACAGAATCTATTACTTTCAGTAAAAACTTTGTAGGTATTACATCAAGTGGGCTGGAGGACACTCTCATTTGTGATACTGTCGATGGGATAAAACAGTACCGTACTACTGCCAAGAGCTGAGCTGTAAGTGTAGCGACCCAGAGAGTCCCCTCTTAGCCTGCCTTTGACTATTAGTAAGATTGTCAGTGTTTCCCCTAGGATGGAGTTGTAGCAGCGGAGGTGAAGCAAATTTCTTTTCTGAATATAAAACCCCAACACAACATGTCTCAGCAACATTGCTCTTGCAATGTGATGCACATTAGTATAGCTTAAAACTTCAGTGTTTTCCCAGTTTAATGTGAGCTTTAGATTAATGTTTTGGTGTTGATCGTGATGGTCATGGTCGGGGGGTTTGGGTGTCCTCCCCCAAGAAAATTTGATGTTTTCCAATGACAAATATGTAATTTCACATCATATTGGGTCATTATTTTCACCATATCTCTGAAAAAATAGTTGGAAAAGCCAGAGCAGATAATAAATAACCAACACCCAAATATCAGTCTACCGAGGAGGAACTACAACCTTTAGATTTGGGGAAAGCAATTTGGTTGGTTATGATGCTCCACAGTGATTTTACATTTATGGCACAGCATGTTTTTGGCATCAAAAATCAGCATTGTGCCATGCTTTTTGGGCATATTTTTAATGTGTCGATGCACCAAATGGGTATGGGTATTTTAAACTAGAAAAGACTCAAGAGAAAACGAAAGCTGTACAATTCTCAAGATTTTATTAATAAAAAATATTTTAAATAACATTTACTGGCTCTACATGGAAATACACACAGACTATTCTTTTAACTGAATACAGTGACAAAACAAAATACTTTCTTGCAATGTTGGGAACAACAAAAGTCACACCTCACAAGCGTTGGCTGAGACATATTTATTTACCAGATTGAATCTCTCTTTTAGAGATGTTTTTTGTATCTTACAGTATGTCTTTGGCCGAGGATAATATTAATTGTAGGACTGATCTGGCTTTACCTTCATTAATAAAGATCTTAACCTGAAAACCGCGAACCAAGACTTCTGTGCTGGTTTCACATTTATGTCCTGTGTTAAACCGTTAACCGACAAAGGCCGACTGCCTCATCCATCCATGAGGC